AGAGGCGGGGGGGGGGGGGGGGGGGGGGGGGGGGGGGGGGGGGGGGGGGGGTGCCAAAGGTAATAATTTTCCCGGTTAATAATTTATGACCCGGTGTGGTACCACACCATCCCCACCCCCACCATATAGAAAACAATACGACATAAGGCTTATCTTATGTATAGTATAGGCCACACATGTGTGTTTGAAACTGAATACTGTAATAAGCATTTTCATCATGGTTTTTAAATTTGAGTTGGGCCTATTATGTGTTTAAATAACTTAGAAGGCATAGGAGGGCAAGCAGAAGCACTAACCTTAACAAAAGCGCGCGACGCGTGCAAAAAAAAATTGTGTTTTTAATTCTAATTTCGTCGAAATTGATCAAAACACCTAAAATGTGCAATTTTTAGAGGAAATTGGCCTACCTCAACAAGAAATGCGCTTATGTTATATATGGCAACACTCGTTTTTTTTAAAACTCACTATAAGCATTTTCATTATGGCTTTATGTATTACAAACATATACTTTCACCATCATTACACAATGAGGCCCTTCTTTTAGGTAAAACGATCTATCTTAAATGTTTTTTCTTGAGTTCCGGACTATTATGTGTTTAAATAACTTAAAAGGTAAAGGAGGGCAAGCACAGGCTTTAACCTTAACAAATGCGCGCAAAGCGCGCGGAAAAATGTTGTGTTTTTAATTCTAATTTCGTCGAAATTGAGCAAAACTCCCTAAAATGTGCAATTTTTAGAGGAAATTGGCCTACCCCAACAAAAAACCAAATTTGAGAGTTTCAGGCACTTTCCGGGGTGATAAGGGCATCTTCAATGGGGAAAGATTTTCCATAGATGGATATTTTCCCCTTGTCCAACGGTAGTTACGCCACTGCAGAGAATATCTGGCGGCTTAGATCAAATGCGATATGGACACTTTTTGAAGTGGAGAAGGAGTTGCTGGGTATTGTGATATATGTTCTTTATATCTTCCTTTTTATTTTTGTCTTTATTTTTCTCTTCTCTTTTTCTTTTCCTTTTTCTTTCCTTTTCTTTCCCCTTCTTTCTCTTTTCCCTCCCTCTCTCCTCTTTCTTTTCTCTTCTTACCCAGACGGTACTACGGCTTGGTTTCCCCCCACCTGTTACGCCACTGCTCAAATCCTCCTTTACTGTAGCTAATTAAACTCAAATCTTTTGTTACTATGTAATATACTTTAAACTTAGCAAAAACATTGAAACCCAATTTTGTCAAAATGTCGCTTCAGATATTTTCTTTAGTATATAAAATTGGCCTGGCGTAACCCAAGACTCATTTTGTCATGACACCTCGCATTTCTATATGCAACAATTGATTTTATTCGTCAATATGTACATGGTTCACTTCAGCTTCATTCATTCTTCCGTTCGTTCATTCATTTCATTTATATATAAATTTATTAAGCGTACTTATTCATATATACATCCAGTATCCCATCCACACAGCCATTCATTAATCATTCCATCCATCCATCCATCTATCCGTTAATTAATTAATTCATTGCCCATTAAATAATTAATTCATTCATTGACCATTAATTAATTAATTCATTCATTCATCATTCATTCTTTTATTCATTCACTAACTCACTTTCCCACTCATTCACTCACTCATTCTTTCATTCATTCAGTAAAAGATACAAGGTATTTATTTGTCAATGTTTACAACATTCAGTCATTCGTTTGTTTGTTCATTATCATTCATTCAGGTACAGTA